CATCAAAATTCCACCAACCCTCCCCCAACCAAAATACATTTTTAATGAAGATCTACCAAAGCTTCAAGGAACAAAACATTCATGTGTTATTCAAGATGTCTGGTGCACACCAAAGATGAAAGCCTTCTTAACTTATTAGAAAAGATAAGTATAACCTAGTTTGTATGCCACAAGGAAACAAAACTGTAGGCCAACCTCACCTGCGAAGACAGACGCAAATATCTATGGAAAATATTAGTAGCATTATTTCAAAAGAACAATGCTCTTCATAAACTATTTCACATATTACTATTAGTGTGGGCAATTTTGTTAGTGTTACAGACAAAACACTTTTATTTTAATCAAGAAATTACCCAAAATCCAAAACTTTTTGAGTGTCAGCATGATTTTCAAAGGGAACACCCATTAGTGCATTTCACATTTTGGATTTTCAGATTAGATGCTCAACTGGTATGTATTCTGAAAATATTCCAAAATCCAAAACACTTCTGGACAAAAGTACTTTTATTTAATGCTTTTACCCAAAGCATTTTGGATAAAAGGTACTCAACCTGTAGTTATATACTTATTTTTTAAATATTTTATTTATGGCAAGTGATAAATGTTTTTCCACTTACTATATGCATAGAAATACATACATTTAAGGGAGAATTCACAGAAAAATGGAATAGTGCAGAGTACTTATAGCAGTGGCAAGAATCATGAAGGCGGCAAGCAAATACATAAGACTCTGGGAACCCTGAAATACATAACATGATCAAAATGGCTTTCTATCAAAAATGTAAGTTTCGCTTCATATTAGAAAATCCATTAGTATGATTTACTATATTAACAGATTAAAGGAAAACAAATCATATGATCATCTCAATAGAAGACAGAAAAACATTTATTAAAATTCAATAGTCATCTGATTTTAAATAAACTTAAAGAACTAGAAATAAAAGGAGGAATTCCTTAAATTGATAAAAGGTATCTTTAAGAAACCTATAGCAGATGTCCTTTTTGAGACAGAAACATCTTAGACAGGATTGCATTACCTTACAAATAAATATAAAGATGCATTCTACAAGTTTACTATTCAACACTGTTCTACAGGTCCAATCCAATTTAACAAAACAAGTAAAAGGAGGAAAAGGGTATAACTATTGGAAATAAAAAGATGACAGGCACTATTTGCATATGATGTGACTGTTTTACATGTACGTGTATGTTATAAACATATATAACAAATATTCAAGAAAATTAAAAAATCCTAACAATAAAAGAATTCAATAAGGAAGCTAGCTACAGAAATAAATAGCATTCAAAAAAATGTAATAAAAAGGCATCCTTCCCAAAAGCAACAAAAATATGTCCAAGGATTAAACTAATACAGAATGTATTTAAAAATTATAAAATTGTATTGAAGGATTTAAAGAACATCTGAATAAATGGGGAATCCATGTTCCAGGATAAGAAGCCTCAAGATTATAAAGATGTCAATTATCGAGATAATCTAACTGCTCTAGAAAGTAAATGCAATCCCAGTCTAAATCATAACATAGCATGCTTTATGGAATCTGACAAGTTGATTCTAGAGTTCAGCCAGAAAAGAAAATATACTAAAAAGCCAGGGTAACCCGAAGGCAAACCAAACAGTTGTCCTACAAAATATCAAAACATATTATAAAGCTAAAGTAGTTAAAAGTGTGGCCCTGACTCAATGTAGACAATAAATCAATAACACAACAGAGCATCCAGAAATATGCTAGAAGAAAAATTAATAGGTGGCATTTCAAGTCAAGGGAGAGAGGATGAAGAATTTAATAAATGATATTGGGCCAACAGCCAGATATCTGAGAAACAACAAACATGAAATTGGAAATCTACCTCAAATTATATACAAAATTAATACTAAATAGATTAAAAAGGTAATTCTAATACTGTAAGTTTTAAACATATGTTGTTTCTACTTGCCTGAGTCTATTCCCTCATCTTCTGGTAACAATACTCTAACTTCTCTTTAGTGAAAACCTTTGCTTTCATTGTATGAAGTGTTCATAGAACTATCAATCAAGGTTACCCCTTTCACCAGGCTAAGGGAGTGGAATTGGAGGGTGGTCACATAAAGGAAATAAAGCCAGTGAGACTCTTATGGGATTTGAATCTTGAAGGGAATGATGCAAGGAAAAAAAAGTTGAGTGAATTTACCCCCGACTTCCCAGATCCCTGAACAAGCTCTGTTTCCAGTCCAGAGTTTCCAAAGCCAGGGTTCTTGAGTTTTTCCTTTCTTTCAATGAGCTATCACCTCATATTCTTCCAATACATTCTCTGTTGTGTTTAGGTTCATGTCAGATAAGTTTCCATTGTTTGCAACTAAAAGAACTTGACACAAAACTCTAACCAACCAGAATCTGGCACAGGATATTATTAAAACTTTTAAAAGATACAGCAAAAAAATACAACGAAGTGAAAGGACAAGCAACCATGAGAAAACATTAACAACATATATAAACAAAGTATAATGCCAATATTATATTAAAAGTGCCTACAAATAAACAAACATAAGCAAATAACCCAATAACATGGGCAATATATGTATACAGGTAATCAATATAAATGTCTAATACACAAAAAATTGTTCAGCTTCATTGGCAAAAAAAAAAAAATACTAATTAAATAACCATGATGTAATATTTTTCACTCAAGAGATTGAAAAAAATTAAGAAAAACCCAATATTAACAAAATGTAGGAAAGTGGTCACTTCATCAACCATTGACCAAATGTAAGTGAATGTTATTTTCTCAAAGGACTACTTGGTATAATATCCATCAAAATTTTAAACTGGCATTTGTTTTCTTTCAGTAGTTTCACTTCTAGAAATTTATCCTTTGGAATAGCATATGTTCACAAGAACATAAATACAAATACTACATGTAATAACAAAAATTGGAAAAAATATAAACTTTGAAAAGAAAATTAAGTAAATTATAGCATATTCTTGGTAAGAAAAATGTTGGTGTAGCTCAGAACAAGGTAGATCTACATACATTAACATGGAACAATTTCCAATATATATAATTAAGCGGCAAATATAAACAGCACAACAGTATGTTTGATATACTGCTTATGTTAAAACTAGTCTATTAAGAGAAAAAGATATGAACTACACATATTAAGAAAATAAGGCTGAGTGCAGTGGATCATGCCTGTAATTCCAGCACTTTGGGAGGCCAAGGCAGGCAGATTACTTAAGCCCAGTAGTTCAAGACCAACATGGGCAACATAGCAAAACCGCATCTCTGGAAAAAAAAAAAAAAAAAGCTACAAAATACAAAAATTAGCCAGGCATGGTGGTGTGCACCTGTGGTCCCAGCTACTCGGGAGGCTAAGGTGAGAGGACAGCTTGAGTCTGGAAGGTCAAGGTTGCAGTGAGCCATGATAGTGCCATTTCACACCAGCCTGGGCAACAAAGACCCTGTCTCAAAAAAAAAAAAAAAAGACAAGACATTTGTAATAAAGGTAAAGGTACAATGAAGGATCTAGCAAGACATACACCAAATCATTAAAAGTGATTTTTGGCCAGGCACAGTGGCTCACGCCTGTAATCCCAACACTTTGGGAGGCCCATGTGGGCAGATCACCTGAGGTCAGGAGTTCGAGCCAGCCTGGCCAACATGGTGAAACTCTGCCTCTACTAATAATATCAAAAAATTAGCCGAGAGTGGTGGTGTGTGCCCATAATCCCAGCTACTTGGGAGGCTGAGGCAGGAGAATCACTTGAACCTGGAAGGCAGAGGCTGCAGTGAGCTGAGATCATGACACTGCACTCCAGCCTAGGTGACAGAGCAGGACTCTATCTCAAAAGAAAAAAAAGATGATTTTTACCTCCAGTAAGAATACAATCAGTACAATCAGCAGGGTACCAGTAATAATACAATCAGTACAATCAGCAGGGTACCAGTAATAGTACAATTAGCAGGGTACAAAGACTTTCTTGCCTTATTATTCTCTATACTTCTTTTACTTCGTGTGTTTATGTCTTACATGTATACTACATTTTATTAAAGAAAGCAACGTGTGAATACACCAAACAAAAGAATCCCTGACAGGCAAAACCCCTCCAAATTAAAAATTGTAAACAATACTTCAAATTTTTAAGCTTTTTCATGAAAATATCATAAAATACTTTATTATTCAGATGTGAAATTAAAGAAACTATAACTACTTTTTTTGTAAAAAAAAAAAAAAAAGAAATATCTGGCTTAACTGGCATTTAATGAAATTACATATTTTATATAAAATTTTGTAATAAAATTTAATAGAAGTATTTAATCCGAAGCAACTTAAGCAAGTTTCCACTACATAGACATGTTATTCATTAAATTCATTAACTCAAGGTCTTTTAACATCAACCGTCAATACTTTAAATCAAGAAATTTTCATTCATAGGAAAAGCTATAAAACACCAGCAAAAACTCTTCTGTATAGGCTCACTGAAATGTCTTTAGGCAGACTAGATTGCTGATTAGATTCTACAATATTAGAAACCCATTCTTAAATTTTTTTCCAATTCCAATAATTTAAAATCATACACTAATTTGAATGTCTTGGCATCTTTTTCAAATATGAAAGCCTTACTCTACAAATCTAAAAATCCAAAGCCATTTAAAAATAAATATACGAAAAACTACCAAAATTAATCTGATTTTTGATAGATAAATTTTCCTAATAATAAAATGTAAGATATATACTTGGGAAAAAAACTTGAACGTCTCAGCTGGTGGTTACTAAATTAATTGATTTCTAATTTTTCAGATAGTAAATATATGGCTCGAAAGAAAGCAAACTATAATAATTATATTTAGTAATTATTAATATAATTAAGAAACAAACAAATGTATTAAAGTATAAACTATACCTGATGTAGAGAAATTTCAGAAAAACATTCAAAGTGTATTTATTTCCTGTACTTTTCTTTCAACTAAATAAATGATAGAAAAGAAAAACATACTCTAACCTTTCTGTTTTGGATTTGCTGTCAATTTTGTACTGTTCAAGTTCTTGGTTAAGAGAATGCAGTTTTTCTTGAAGTCTCTTTTCACGATCTACACTTCCTTGATAAAATTTCATCTCTTTTTCCATTGCTTTCACTTTTTCTTCCATAGCTTTAAATTCATGAAGAATTAGATAGCTGACTCCACAGTACTTACAAACTTTTTCTTCAGGCAACATCTAGGAAACAGAACATACACTTACTAAATTTTTTTTTTAATTCTGAAAAATAAAGTTCAACTGAAGATATTGTAGACATGCTGGTTGAACGAAGTAAATATATAGTATACTATGCCTTGGAGCAATAATTATGACATTGCCCACATTTGCATAAAAAATTTTAAACAGGCATATTGAGTCTGACACAAAATCCTGGGATTAGAAAAAGATCTTTCTGAGCAATTGTTTCTCCATGGTATCTCTAAGAAAGATTTACTCTTACAATATTTTCCGTAAAATAAAACCAAAAATAGTGAAAAATGTATAATCTTTATAATTCTGGTTTTAAGATGAATTTTCCACAAAGTGGGAGGAAATCACTGTTCTTTAATTGCAAACTGCTCTGTTCTCCTGGCTTTTTCAGACCTTATTTTCCTCATTTGTAAAAGTATGACATTACACCAAATGAATTCTGTTTCTGTTCAGTTTCAGCATTTTATGATTTTTACAGAAATTTAACATTCTGTCATAAATCTACAAATAGGAAAAACACTTTGAACCTAATCTCTTCTCCCCAAGTCAGTTCTTAGTAGGTATTGTTATACCCATCTTATAGATTTAAAAAAAAAAAAAAAACCCAACAGAGACTACTGAAGTTAAATAATCGGCTGATATGTGGAGAAGCTGGAATTAAAACTCAGGTCTATTTAAAACCAGCACCTGTGCCTTTAACCAACTGTATATTGGATAGATCCTCTTCCTTCCTTCAAATAAAGTGTTGTATGACTTCTGGCCAGCATAGGGCCAGTGAAAAATGAAATTTCAGCCAAGTCAGAAAGGAGATAGCTCTTTTTTCTGTTTCTGGTATAATATTTCTCAGTAGCCTCTGCTTGTTTTCCTATTCACAAAGGATAAGAGATGCTTCATAAAATACTTGCTCCAGGGCACTAAATTTGAAATTAACTCTTGGATTATACAAGATTTACTCTTAAAGTAACCTCCCTTGAAACTATAGAAACTGTTTCTGTAACTAATAGTAATGCCATCATATCTACCTACCAAAGTGATTACAGAAATGTCAACTGGAAGAAAATAACACATTTTTATAAAGTAAAATTTGGCTCCTTTAAACTTTAATAATAAAAATTTTAAATTAAAAACCATAATACAGTATTGTGGGATACAGATTAATGACTATATCAGCTATCTAACTGCCACTTTGATTTATAAAACATCAGGTTTAAAAGTAATCATAAAGATAATCTGGTTCAAGTTCTACATGGATTCAATTCCATTAATCTACTTCAACCTAAATACGTTGCTGCCTATCCTTTATTTTAACATCCCAAATGATGGGAAACCACTTTCTAAAGCATTCTGTTCCATCTTCTGCCAGTTTTGTCTCTCAGGAAATCCTTTCTCAGGCTCATCACAAATCTGCCTCCCTGAAGTGTGCACCAGTTCCAGTCCTCTTAGAAACCATGTGTGACATCCCCAGGCCTCTTTCACACGAAGGTCTTTCTAACATTTGAAGACAGCTATCAGGAATATTCCATGTCTTCTCTTCTTCGGGTCAACACTTACAATTCCTTCAGTTGAATTTCTTCCTCATTCTAGATTTCTCTAAATTTTTTCCAATGTTCTACATGTGTTTCAAAGTATGGTGCCCAGAATGCAATAGTTCAGTGTGGCTGGTCTCACTGAAATAGAATAAGAGAAGACTCAAACTTCTCTCATTCTAATATCTCATTACTAACATCATTGTAATATGTTCTAATGAAACTTTAGATCTCATTGGTCTTTCATATTTTTAGCAATTATATTTTGCTTTTATATACTATAACTGGCTTTATGTTACATAAAACCCCTGATCTTAAAAATACTGCAGTGCAAACCAATGTCTCATTATACTGAATATACCAATTATTTCCTTTCTATCTATGTTTCCATTTTAGATAATCCACTTTCCACAGCCCTGGCTGCTATGTTTGGCAATGTGACTAAGACTCCCTCTACCCATCTAACCTAGCCATGGTGACTGGTGAACCAGGATTGGACATCAGACCCAGAAGGACCAAGCGCCAGCTGGTATGAGCCAACTGGGCCTGTAATTGTTGAAGATTCAGGCACTTAGGTCACCTTAGAAAATGTCATGTACAAGATACACATTAACTAACATAACTAAAATCTGAGACATGAATGAGCACAGAGAAGCTGAGATGAGGACGCTGTAGCTCCAGAAAGACAGAGAAAATAAGGAACCCCAAACGCTTCCAGTTCCTCACTTCAGTCCCTTTTGAGACCTGGCTGCCCTACTTGCCATTTGAAATTCATGCCCAATCTTCCTCTACTATTTTCCCTTTTCTCCCTTAAGCTCCTTATTCCTTGCAACCAGAACTTTCCATTCTATTATGTCTGCATTTGGCTTTTCAGATCCAAGTATAAAACTACAGATGTAAATGTAAATATATAAAATACATAAAAATATATATCTTATATTATCTTAGACTCACATATATTTGAGTATATAACATAGATATATATGTCTTAGACATAGTTATTTCCTTTGGTTATTACCTTAGTTATTGCCATTGGTATCCAGGAAATTCTAAGCTTCATGTCTTTTGCAAAGTTGATCCTTATAAGTCATTTTATGTATCTCACTCACTGATTTTAAAATGCTGAACTGACTAAGTTGAGGACAGAACTCCACAGCATGTAATATCACATTGGTTGATACTGTTCTATTATTCAGCACATTTCAGGTACAACTCTTAATCTGATCATTAAACTATCCAATTATCTTTGTTACCAGCCTATATTTATTTTATACTGTCTTCAGGAATATTATGACAGACTTTGTCAAATGTTTTCACAAAGTCCATATATTCTATGCCTAATATGGTTCCTGGATCTAGTAATCCTACATAAAATGAAATGGCAAAGCCTACAGGCTTGCTCTCAGTGAACATAAAATTGGCCCAAGGGTTATTGTTTTGTCTAATATATCCTCACAAACCACCCTTTCATAATATATTCTAAATCTTGTCTGTGATTGAAATTAAGCTAATTGGTTGTAATTTATGGGCACTGTATACATGAAATGGCATTTGTTCATTATCCTATTACTCTCTACACATCTTCAAACATAACCAAGAGTGGCTTTGCAATCCTATTCAAAGACACTATCGGCCCTCAGAAATATAATCCATCCATGTCAATAAACCTGAACTAATTAGGAACAGATGGATATTTTCTTAAAATTTTTGTCCATCTTGTATTTTGGTTTCTTCTTCTCAATTTGAAAATTGTTGCTTACTGTAAGTCACTTTCATCATTAATCCTTGGCTATTAATTGCAGTTCTTGCCCTGTTCCTGACAAAGTATCCTATCTTTATTCTAAAGAAAACTCTTGATGGGTGGAGTAGATTTGCAGACTGAAGAACGAAATAGAAATGCTATAAACTTTACATTGTGAAAGCTATTAGAATGTTATTTCATCATAGCAGTCAAGGGAGAAAAGGCTGAAATGTATTTTATGTGAAGCAATACATTTTAGAGAATAGGTTTTCTAGAAGTTCAGGAAGGAAAGAGAAAACATGATATTCATTACGATGTAGAAAACAAGACAACGTGATTTTAAAATAATAGGTCCACAAGAGTCATCTTCTGACTTTACCTGAATCATCACATGAGCAATGTTAAATAAGCATATTGCATAAAATTTTTCAATGCTATTAAATTGTAAATAACATTCTGTAAGCAAAACTGCTATAGAAAAAAAGGTAATAACCCTTTCAAATTATTAGTGTCTATATGAGCTAATTACTTAGGGCATTTTTGTGAAACTTGAGAAGATATGAAATACTGTAATTATGTTCCCAAATGAAGTAAGTTATCTGCTTTTTGTGAAATACAATTTGTGCTTCATTCTTATAACTTGGTGTTATATCTATATCATCCTGTCATTCTGAAAGTAAAATAATGACATGCTGTCATTCTTGACAAAAGGCCTATCATTAACAGGATGTTTTGGTGTTCTACAAGATGCACTTCGGAGGAGACAGTAACAAATGCAGTATATTAAACAAATGTAGAACCATTTGAAAATAAATTATGAAACAAACTTCTCAAATGCAGTGTTCATACTTCTAAAATTACAGTTATTTAATATGAAAATAATGTAAATTTTTTTAAAAGGTTAAATTAGGCTTCAGATCCTTTTCAGAGCTCCTGTCTGTGCTTGAACTAGAAAAACTACTTATACCTTCCTGCTGCCCAATTGTGGCATTCTCTATTTCAAAATCATGCCTCCTGGCCAAGCATGGTAGCTTACACCTGTAATCCCAGTGCTTTGGGAGGCCGAGGTGGGTGGATTGCTTGAGCCCAGGATGAACCTGGGCAACATGGTGAGACCTTATTTCTACAAAAACTTTTTAAAAAATTAGCCAGGTGTGGTGGTGTGTGCCTATAGTCCCTGCTATTTGGGAGGCTGAGGTGGGAGGACTGCTTGAGCCCAGGAGGCAGAGGCTGCAGTGAGCTGAGATGGTGCCACTGTACTCCAGCCTGGACAACACAGAAATATCTTGTTCCAAATAAATAAATAAAATTGTGCCTCCTTCTCCCACCTATATGATGCTTTTTGTGCTCAGACAAGGAGGAAATAAACTATTCATTGTAGATAAGAGTGATAGCAGTATGAAATATTAATCCTTCTAAGAGGTTTTCCATTCAATAAGATGCCTTTACTCAAAACAATGAGTGTTTAATAAATTTCGTTCAGATTAGGAGAAAGTTTTTGAGATAGGGCAATAGATACTTCAAGCTCATTAGTCACACAGACCACCTGACTACTTCATAAAGCCATTAGGACCCTTCCTCATCATTAAGTTAGCCTGCTTATTTATTAATTTAAAAATCAATTTAGTAAAGGGCACTTACAAAAAAAAACCCTACAGCTTTATTATAATTAGTAGTAAAAGACTCAGTGCTTTTCCCCTAAGGTTGGGAAAATGGCAAGG